GGCAATTTATGCCGCCCCACCCCCATCCCGAGTTGGGGTCTTGCTCTATCACCCAGGCTAGAGTGCAGTAGCACAATCACAGCTTACTGTATCCTCAAACTTCTGCTCTGGTGATCCTCTCAAGTAGCTGGGACTACATGTGTGTACAGCAAAACCTAGCTGATTTATTTATTTATTTTTTAAATAAAGACAAGGTCTCTCTGTTGCTCACGTTAGTCTCAGACTCCTGGGTTCAAGCAATCCACCCACCTCGGCCTCCCAAAGTGCTAGGAGCTGGGATTACAGGCATGAGTCACTACTTATGGCCAATTTCTTTTTTTTTCTTTTTTTTTTGAGTCAGTGTCTCACTCTGTTGTCCAGAGAGGAGTGCAGTGGCACAATTATGGCTCACTGCAGCCTTGACTTCCTGGACTGAGGCGATTCTCCTGCCTCAGTTTCCTGAGGCATGCACTACCAAGTCCAGCTAATTTTTCTGAACTTTTTTTTTTAAGTTGGAGTCTTACTCTGTCATCCAGGCTGGAGTGCCATGGCATGCTCATGGACACCCCAGCATTGACCTGCTGGGCCCTGGCAATCCTTTCACCTCGGCCTTCCAAGTAGCCGGAACTACAGGCATGCGCTACCATGTTTGGCTAATTTTTCATTTTTTATTGTAGAGACGAGGTCTCATCAAGTTGCCCAGGCTGGTCTCAAACCCGTGGGCTCAGGCAATCCACTCACCTTGGCCTCCCAAACTGCTGGGATTACAGGCTGAGCCACCAAGCCTGGTCAATTTTTCTGAATTTTTATACAGACGAGGTCTTTCTATGTTTCCCAGGCTGGTCTCGAACTCCTGGCATCAAGTGATCCTCCCACCTCGGCCTCCCAAAGTACTGGGATTACAGGTGTGAGCCACCACAACAGCCACCCAGTCAGTTTCTTACAAAGTCAAATATATACTTACCATATGATCCAACAATTCTACTACCAGGTATTTATACAAAAATTGTACGTGACTGTTTATAGCATCTTTAATCATAATTGCCAAAAGGTGGAACCCAAATGCCTATCAACTGATGAATGAATAAACACATTATATATGTCCATACAATGGCACGCTCCTCAGCAAAAAAGAGAAATGAACTACTGATCGATGCAATGTAGTGTGTTAAACTAGTCTCTCCCAAAAAATATGTTCAAATCCTAACCCCAAGAACCTGTGAATGTGACCTTATTTGAAAATAGAAGCCGTGCTTAGTGGCTCAGCCTGTAATCCCGTGCTTTGGGAGGCTGAGGTGAGTGGATTGCTTGAGCCCGCGGGTTCGAGACCCGCCTGGGCAACTTGGCGAGACCTCAGCTCTACAATACATCAAAAAAATTAGCAGGGTGTGGTAGCACACACCTGTAGTTCCAGCTATTTGGAAGGCTGAGGCGGAAGGATTGCCGGAGCCCAGCAGGTCGACAGTCTGGGTGACAGAGTGAGACTCCAACTCAAAAAAAAAAAAAAGAAAGAAAGAAAGAAAGAAAATAGATTCTTTGCACATGTAATCAAATCAAGATGAGGTTATACTGGATTAGGGTAGGCCTCAAATCCCTAACTGGTATCTTTATAAGAGAAGGAAGGAGGCGATTTGGACACAGATATACAAACTGGGAAGAAGGTCCTGCGATGACAGACAGCCAGTAGAGCAACAGGGCTACAAGTTAAGGATTACCAGCACCCCAGTGAAGCTAGGAGAGGCAAGGAAGGATTCTCCCCAGAGCGTCCAGAGACAGCATGGCACTGCTAACACCTTGATTTCAAATTTCTGGACTCAGAACTGCAAGAAAATTAATTTCTATTGTCTTATGCTACCAAGTTTGTAGTACTTTGTTACAGCAGCCCTAGAAAATTAATACACACAACAGCTCAGATAAACCTCAAATGCAATATGCTAACTGAAAGAACTCAAAAGACTACACACTTCTGATTCCATTTATAGGACAAGCTGGAAAAGGCAAAAATACAGATCAGTGGTTTCCAGAGGCTGAAGGTAGGAGTGGGGATTGATTACAAACAGACACAAGGGAACTTTTTGCGGTAATGGAAATGTTCTACACCTGATTGTGGTGGTGATTATATCATACAGGGCTGTATATCCAAGAAAGGTAAATTGTACTGTACGTAAATTATACCTCAAAAAAAGTGTACTTAAAAAAAAACCTGTGCTCTGGGATTCTCTGAGTTTCTCAGTTTTTCATAAATGTTTCTCAGTTTGGAAGGAGGTTCCTACCAGCCTAGTCAGGGATAATATGAGTATCAAAATAAAAATAATGGTTATAGATTATAACACATAAATAGGATACCATAAAACCAAATACAGAGAGATAAATAAGTAAATGTATAGACTGAAAGTTGAATGAGGATCAGGATGAAGCATCTCCTCACAAAATGTTTATTCATTACAGAAGAGAGAGAGTAACTTTAGAGTGGAGAAAACTGACAGACACCGCCTTAATTGATCAAACAGAACATCATCATTAAAAGGACAAATCAGGCCGGGCTTGGTGGCTCAGCCTGTAATCCCAGCACTTTGGGAGGCTAAGGTGAGTGGACTGTCTGAGCCAGGGGGTTCGAGACCAGCCCCGGCAACTTGGCGAGACCACATCTCTACAATAAATAAAAAAATAAGCTGGATATGGTAGCACACACCTGTAGTTCCAGTTACTTGAAAGGCTGAGATGGAAGGATCGCTGGAGCCCAGCAGGTCAAGACTGCAGTGGCCGTGAGCATGCCGCTGCACTCTAGCCTGGGCAACAGAGTGAGACTCCAACTCAAAATAAATAAATAAAAGGACAAATCAAAATCATGGGCCTAATGTGACACAATAACAGCATCACCTCCGTGTTATTCCTGCCAACAATGCATAATCTGAATCGAATCACAAAGATATGTCAGGCAAACCCCAACTGAGGGATTATTTCTACAAAATAAGTAGCCTATAATCTTCAAAAGTCACAAAGCCATAAAAGTCAAAAAACTTTTTTTTTTTGAGACGGATTCTTGCTCTGTCATCCAGAGCAAGAGTAGAGCGGTGTAATCATGGCTTACTGCAAGTCTCTGCCTCCTAGGCTCAAACAATCCTCCTACCTCAGCCTCCTGAGTAGACAGAACTACAGGTGTGTGCCACATCTGGCTAATATTGTGTGGTGTGTGTGTGTGTGTGCGTGCACGCACATGCATGTGTATAGACAAGGGTCTTGCTATGTTCCCCAGACAGGTCTTTTCTTTTTCTTTTTCTTTTTTTGGGGGGGAGGTCAACAGACTCAGAGATTCTCCTACCTCGACTGCCCAAAGCACTGGGATTACAGGAGTGAGCTACCGCACTTGGCCCAGAGCACTTTTTTAATGTCAAAAATAAGATTGAAAACTGTTCTAAACTGAAGGAGACTACAGACAATAACTACATATATGTGATTCTGAACTGAATCCTTTGCTACAGAGAATAGTAATGAGACATTTGGCAAAACCTAAATGAAGTCTGAGGATCTGATAGTAATCATATATCATTGTTAATTTTCTGGTTTTGATGGCCATATTTTGGTTATATAGAATAGTTTTCTTGCTTGTAGCAAATACACAGTGAAATATTTGGGGCTCATAGGTCATCATGTCAGAAACTTACTCTCAAGAGACCAAAAAAGTTAGCTATATTACACTTACAACTTTTCTGTAAGTTTGTGAGTGTTTCTAGTAAGAAAAGAGTCCTGGGAAGGCCAATGATGATCATTTTAGCCCATTCCCCAATGCAATGGGAGGGGGACATCAATGTAAATTCTGTATTTCTATAAAGTTGGTAACAGTGCCACACAATTGGGATCTCAAACACAGCAAACCTTGACAATGCTCTACAGTTTCTGAAGTATGAAATCCAGTATAAAGCAGAGACCTACTTTATTCGGATACTGAATAATCCATTGGGTTAATATATAAGATAGTTCAATCCGTAAAGGCAGATCTTTAATATAGGCAGTATTATGGTAGACATGCCATTGTCATATTAAGTATAAGATTCTAATGTAATAGGCTATGAATATGTTTGTTATATTTTTTCTAATCAACATTATATTTAGAGTTCCTATAAGCATTCTCAAATGGAAGTCCCAGTCTAAATAATACATTTGCCTTAAGTGATATCATCAAAAAAGTGAATCCAGTTTCTCTGACACAGAAATAAGACAATGTTTTTAAAAAGGAGAGGCATCAAATGAATCAAGTTGCGCTTCATCTTAAAGTTTGCATCTCAATCTTAAGACCAAATATTAAATCGGTAATTAGAATGCCAGGCTCCTAATGTTTCAGAGACTAGAATATCTAAGTAGTCTAACTTGGATCTTAACAACAGTACCACATACCATTGTCTGAAACACCAGTTCCACAATGTTCTGAACAAAGCTCTTCACTGATATAAGTGATTAAAGTACCCTATAACACTGCACTCATCTAAAATGCAATATAGACCACTTCATTTATGCCTCAGACATGTGCTGTCCAAGGTGGTAGCCACTAGCCACATGAAGCTAGGGAAATGTGGCTAGTCCAAATTGAGACATGCTTTAAGTATAAAATACATAACAGATCTCAAAGACGTAGTACCAAAAAAACTATGTGAATATCTCATTAATGCTTTTATATTGATTACATGTTGAAAAAAATCATATTTTAGATATACTAGGATGACTAATTATATAATATTAAAATTAATTTCACTTGTTTCTTTTTCTTTAATGTGGCTACTAGACAAATTTAAAATATGTATGTGGCTTGTGTTATATTTCTACTGGACAATGCTGCCTTAGGTCATTTGGGATAACACTACTGTGTGCTGTAGAAACTATAAGAGAGAGTACTGATGGACTTCCCAGAAGACTCAACTGTACGTAGGTCCAGGCTATCCTTAAGATCTAATCTTTTCAAGGATAATCTTCGCCTGTCTTTCCACACTCCTTTCAGCTTCAAGAACGTACATATGTGGAGGTACCTGAAACTCTGATGCACTGCTCCGCAGCTGGCTCACGTTGGGTAAGGATCCTCCATGGTACTGTGTAAGGCGCAGTTGTTGAAGCTTCTGAAATTGAACCTGGAAACAAAGCAATTTCAAGAATGTTGAGAGATGACAGCAAAGATCTGAAAGAAGCATCAAAGTGTAGTATTTTGTAGTAAAATGGTTCAAGAATGAAAGTCTTGGTTTCAGTTTCTTCACTACTTAAATGATCACACCTTTGGGTTTCCGGTGCTTTCTGGTTTTCTATTACTCTATTTTTGGAACAAACTTACCCACGTGCCAAATGTCACACATGCTGTGATAGTAAGGTACTCTTGCAAGGTATTTGAGAATGTATGTTTAGGCGTGTAAGCATAATCTTTAACAACAACAAATAAATTTCTTAAAAACTGAGCTACTACCCCAACCCTAACACAAACTTTTTCTCTTCTCTATGCTCCTTTCCAGCCTCCATTTACATTTATTTATGTGTAATATCTGCATGGTTGTGACCATAACATAGGTACAATCTTGCATGTTCATATTGTAAGCCTATTCTATGCTGTTACATAATGATTTGTAATGGCTACATAACAGTTCTGAGTTATTTCCTTAGAACACATTCCGAAGAGTGATTACTAAATCTCTGGATATGGGCCTTTGGGTGGCTCTCAACACGTACTGCCAAAAGGCTTTTCCCAGGGGTTTATCAATGTCCATGTGAGAAAACAGCTTCACCAAAAAACTCACTAACGTTGGGTATTATCAGTCATTGGGATAAGGAAGGAGGCCAGTTCAAAAGGTATAAAATGGTATCCCACCACTTTAACATCTTTTGTAAGTTCCTCCTTACTTTGTTTTTCAAAAGACAATGAACTGTAAACCCCAAAGTGGTCCAATTTGTTCTTTAAGAGTTCTGTTGCTAAAATAATAAATTAGTTCTAGGACTACATAACTCTTGGCACTTACAATTCAATAGGGAAGAAAGGGGTTATAGATGAGAGCCTGAGACACATTTTTATCCTTTCATGACTGTTTTCGTCTAATAATAAGAAAACTTACCATATCTAAGCCCCTAGGATGGATCAGGTGCTGTCCTCAGTCTCTCGGCCTGCCTTACCCCTAACCTCCCCACAGTCATGCAAATAAGACCTATTATTCTACCTTTACTGACCTGGAACCCAGACTCAGGGAAGTTCAAGTGCCCAAGATCACACAGTTAGTAGGAGGTCAGCTATGGCTATCTAACACAAAGCCCATATTTCTATTTCTGACAAGCTCTTTCCTTTGTTTCATTTCTCCCTTAATTATTACACTATTTACAATCTCAAAAAAAAAGGTGAATGTGGTTAACCAAAAGCATTGATATGAAGTGCTCCAATATTTTGTTTTTACATTTGTTATGAAAAATGCAAAACAGTATATGCAAAATAGAGATAAGCATAATGAAACTCCATCAATCCATCTCCTTGCTTCAACAATTACCCACTTATATCCAATCTGCTTTCACCTCTACCCCCTCCATGACCCACAGTGCCTCATGAAAAGAAATCTCAGATGTCATATCATTTCACATTTCAAAATGTGTCTCCTGGGCCAGGCTCGGTGGCTCAGCCTGTAATCCCGCGCCTTTGGGAGGCTGAGGTGAGTGGATTGCCTGAGCCCATGGGTTCAAGACCCGCCTGGGCAGCGAGACCTCATCTCTACAATAAATCAAAAAATCAGCCGGGCGTGGTAGCGCATGCCTGTAATTCCGGCTACTCGGAAGGCTAAAG